ATTTCTCTTTCACATTCCCTGATGGCCCTCAGTCGTTCTACCTCCTCCTTTAGCTCCGCCACCAGGTTGAGCAGGTCGTCCACCTGCTCACACCTAAGGCAGGCTGTGCTTTTGCCACTCCCCGGTAACGTGGAGAGGCTCAGGCATTCCCCGCAGCCAGAAACCTGGACCGCTGCGTGTTTCTGTGGCGGTTCAGTCTGGGTCGCCACAGTCTTCCTGGCGGAAGCTCTCTGCCGAGTGGAGACCATGGCTTTACCTGATCTCCCGCAGCTAGAAGACAGGAATAAGAACAGTGTTAATGATATCCACAGGGACACTGGATTGCGGACCAAGGCAGGACCTTCTTCACTGGTGCATTGTCCTTCCTAGGGATTAGTTCAGCACTCTCCCAGGCCCCAGATACTGCAGAGTGAGCTCAGGGACACTGGATTGCGGACCAAGGCAGGACCTTCTTCACTGGTGCATTGTCCTTCCTAGGGATTAGTTCAGCACTCTCCCAGGCCCCAGATACTGCAGAGTGAGCTCAGGTAGCAAAATCGTCTCCAGCCAGGGCGGAGCGGCCCGGCTCTCTTTCCCCCTGGCCCTGGCCTCTGCAGGCTTTTCTCTCTTAGTGGGAGCCTCCTGTCACCATCACATTAACACTTCCTCTCCAGGACAGCATGCCTGTGCTCTGAAGTGCAGTCGCCATAAATGCTGTGTCCTGGCCCTTAGTAGAACAAGTTTTACCATCACCAATCTGTTCCCTGTGTCACAGCGGAGGCTCTGCAATGGAAACATGCACAAGTGCATAAAGCCTGGGGCTGAGAGAGGAGCAGATGGAGGTGCCTATCTGACTCAGGCATTCTTGATAGAATAGATGGGATGTGGTGGAATCTCACACGTGATTATAGAGCCCATACAGTGGCAGGGTCTGAGATCTTCAGGAGAGAGTGGAGGAAGATGAGCAAGGGGGCTGCCCTTGGTCTGAATGGGCAGCTCAGCTGTGTGGAGCTCTTTGAACATGAAGGCCAGGGTTTGGATGCGAGCTTGTAGGTGACAAGGGTGAGATCACAGTGGGAGTCACCAGCCACCCAAGCAGGATGAGGAGGTGGGTACAGTCCCCTTTAAGCAATGTGAGCAAGACTGCGACTCAAAGGGCACCCCATGTGCACACAGCCTCCCTGCATTCGCTCCCAGGTTGTAGGGACAGTTGTTCTCCGGGGGAACTGGAAGAGGGTGTAGAAAGCAGCAGTGCCCTGGTCCTCGGCACACGTCAGCACCTTCACCTTGCAAACCACAGGAGGACTCATGTCCCTCCTCCCCGCAGTCCTCTGAGTGACCAACTCCTCCCCAACAGGCTGAGGGAAGCCTGAGGCCTCCTTGTCCACCCAGAGGGCTTGTCCTGGATGGACTCCTATCAACGCTGCCAGCTGCTTGTTCCCAAGTGCCTGTCCCAGGAACCGTTCTCTGCAGGGGACTGCTAGCTTGTCACAGCCACAGGCAGTACAGGGCTAAGAGGATGGCGTGCCAGGCCTGTTCTACCAGCATTGCCTTGAACAAGTGGCCTGTGAGGAGCAGGAATAGCCAGGCCTCATGG